CTTATTTCCAACCTAAAGCCCCCCAAAAAAGCCAGCCAGCCAACCCTAAATTCCCAAACCTCTAGGTGTACATATTACCTTATTTCCAACCTAAAGCCCCCCAAAAAAGCCAGCCTACCAACCCTAAATTCCCAAACCTCCAAGTGTACATATTACCTTATTTCCTTTTCCATGATTACCTTATTTACAACCTAAAGCCCCCCAAAAAAGCCAGTCAACCAACCCTAAATTCCCAAACCTCCAGGAGTACGTATTACCTTATTTCCCATTTATTTATTTATTTTTATATTACTACATTTACTTAAGTTTACAATGTAAATAAGGAAGTACCCTCCATTTGGATTCAAATAAAAATACTATAAAATCAAATTCCCACCAAATCAAAATATGAAAAATTGGTGAAGGAGCACAGGGGATGCACCGCATAATAAGAAGATAAAAAGAAAAATACTAGCTCAAACATGAAGTTACATACGAATGCTTTTCGATGTTATTTTCAAAACTTACCCAGCCCTTTTTCAAGTCTACGGAAAATACTACCCAACCAAACCTCTTAGACGTTAACCTTTACAAGGAAAATTTCTAGATCTGTCCCTGCGCATGACTGATGTCTATGGAATGCATATTCATGATAATTTTAGATTTATTTCATATATATCATTTATATATATGTAGCACATTTGAATGATAAAATCATAACATCGAATTTGTGTTAGCCGCGGTTGGAATTTGTCACGTACACAAGACAACGCTTGGCAGAAGCAAGTCACAAACTGTACAATTTAATTGTCACCAATATATTATCAGAAGTCTTGTTAATTATGGTATTTGTCACAAACAGAATCCAGTCTTTCATCCTAAAAATCAATGGCTCATATGGCCCTTTTTCTGTTGTAGTGAAATATTTCTTTTCTTCGTCCTTTTCCCTTTCCTCCTTTTATTACTGAATCTATCAAACTTGTCCTGATACGATGCATTGAACAATGAAAGTAAGACCATGAAGATGAAGAGAAAAAGAGCCACAAATACTTAGTTTTTAATTAAGTAACTAAAATTAAATTAAAAAAATTAGAATTGCCATGCGCGTAAGTATATAGCAACCTTTAATAAAATTATAAACTGGACGATGCGTATTCAAGCTGGCAACTTGAGAATTAAAGTTGGGCCAATCATCCTCCAGCCTTAGATTCTTGGAAAAGTTCCATAAGAGCATCTCCAAGGGAGATGTCAAATACCAAACATCAAATTTAAATTTGATGGTTGATGTGGCAATTTGACATCTTACACAGCTTTGCTTTACACTCCACCCGATATGTCAAATTAAATTATTATTTTATTACATTTTAGTGTTGATTTATTTTTAATTA